GTCAATAAGTTACTGTGAAGCCTAGACCTGACCAGATAACAGTTAATTTGTTCTTTCCCAGTAAGTTACTGTAAAGCCTGGAATCGACCAAATATCAGTTCAACTTCGTCTATTCAAGCAAGTTATTGTGAAGCCTAGACCCGACCAGATAACAACTAGCTACAATCCCTAGAAAGTCACTATGAAGCCTGGACCCGACCAGATAATAGTGTAACTTTTCTAAAACTATGAAGCCTGGAATCGACCAGATAATAGTTACCACTTCAAGTTACTGTGAAGCCCGTACCCGACTAGGTAACAGTTCAACTTAAAGCAATTTTCTGCGAAGCCTGAATTCCGACCAGATAACAGTTAATTCAGATTCTTCTCCTGCAAATCACTGTGAAGCATGGACCCGACCAGGTAGCAGTCAACTTCATTATCCTCAACAAATTTCTGCCAAATCTGGATTTCGACCAGATAATAGCCAGTTTTCAATGCTCTCTAGTTAGGATTAATTCCCCATTAGAGCATCGAACTCTTTTTCCCAAGCAGAGATCAGCACTCTCCATAGAGTCTTATTAAACAAGCCTCTATTCCCCAGCGGAGTTTCTCCTCAAACAACGGAACAGGAATTCCCGACAGAAGCATCCTAAAGTGATAGGAGCTTACTCTTCATCCTTAGCAACAGTCTGGGAGCTCATTTCCCAAGGCTCATCAGCGTGTTGTCAAGGATTTATTTTCTAGACAAAGACACACTGCAAGGAACGCATCACATTCATAAATCATAACACATACATGACAAATACATACAACATAATCTCATTTATGTTGAAAATATCATTATACCTTTCATACATCTGCATATAACTAATCTTTTTCTTTGCAGGAAAAAGTCGACAAACAAAGACATCTACCATTCCAGTTTAAATCAACCAAAAGATTTATCCTGATGCTTTCGTCAGTCACTCTGAATGGCATCTCTAAGCCTATTTCCTACACAGTCAACTAACACATCATCGAGTGCAAATTTCTGGGCACTCTAGTGTTCAATCATCTTCCACCTTCAAGTCACGAATGGCGGACTCGCCAATCTAACTCTTCAGGTTTAAGAAGATTGAATAGGGGCAACTGTTGTACCCCAAAATTTGCTCTCTCATTTTCCAAGAATTTCCTCCCAAGATCTTCCATGACATCAAGTTTGTAGCACTGATATATCAATTTAGGTTTGGAATTGGCACAAGGGCAAAATGGTCAATTACATATTGAAAAGTCAAACTTTGACTTTTGGATCAAAATCGAGTTTCAAGAATCATATTTCATCAAGATATATCAAAATATGAAATTTGTTTCATCAAGAAAATCAGAAGTCAAAACTACTTTGGAAAAGTCAAAATTCCAAATACTTAAATTTTTTTCTAAGTGTTTAGGAAAATGATAAGTTCAGAACTTCTGGCCAGATTTTCACCATGATGCAAGTTGATTCTGGAAGAACTTCTAACACAAGAGTTATAGGTCTCAATGAGATCTAAAACATTGCAGAACATAACTCCTCCTATAAATGATGGGATTTCAAGTTATACATCTTCAAAGACACGTCCCTGAAACTTAAACACTTAGTAAATTCTGAACATTTTCAAACCAGAATTTGGTTACAACTTCTGGGCTTGTTTTCATAAAGATTCATTCAGAATTTGCAAGAGTAATTCAAAGAGGGTCTACAAAGCGTGTTGCAAGCTTTCTGGAAAGTCTGAGAACTCCTTCAAAACATGTCAGAGCAGGGAGATTCAAAGACCAGAAGTTGGATGTTTATTCAAAGTCATGCTGATGCTGAACTTCTATCCCAGAATTAAGCTATGATGCATTATCTCATATTGCAAGATTTCTGGTTTGATAAATATCATCATCATTTAATGCTCACACCCACTTTTGAATCTTTATCCAAAGGATTTCCCCACGTGTGACATAGAAGTACCATTGTTGTCCTTGAAAAGAAAACTTTTGTACAGGTGTATGCTAGGCCCATGCTTTGCTTTTGCTTCTGAGGGTACTTTTCCTTAATTCATGCCTACAAATCCAACTTAGGCACGGCTAAAAGATGTTAACCACTATACTTGTTTAACTTGCTTCAAGAACAAGTCAGCGCCCTAGCATAATGGTTGTACTCTTGACTTCTCCAAGCTACAAAATCCTTGCCTATAAATTGAACTTCATTTGCAACTGTAAAGAGGTCGGGAATTTTGAAATTAGCCTTGAAACCTTGCTAAAATTTTAAAGAACTGGAAACTAAAAGCATAAACACAAAAGCCTGCTAAGCTTATGTTTCTTTTCACGCCCAAACTCTAATCTTCTTGCACATCTCTTGGCCAAATTTGAAACAATCCCAACTTCTATTTGCAAGTTGCAATTCCATCTCCACCAACTTCCATTTCAAAATCAGAACTTTGATTCTTAGCTGTTCCAGAATTTTCCAGCCATTCATTAGCTCAAGTTAAAGATTGTTCCAGCCTTCTGAGCACGCGAGAAAGCTGATCAGAACATCACGTCAGCTTGAACCAGACTCTAATTCAGAACAATCTCCGGAAGCAAGGTAAGTTTCTTTTGATTTGTATTTCATTGCTTAGGCATTGCTAGGCTTGCATTTTCAAAGATACAATGTAGATATTATGGCTCTGGTTCTATACATATGCATAGATTCATGTATGTTTACTTAAGTAGATAAAGTGTCATTTCAGAACATCTTGAGGAAATTAGGATCCAGAATTAGGATTAGCAAATACATGCTTGCTTCTAACTTACAATTCTGATATTTTATGTTTCTGAAACCATGATGAAGCATGCCTTAACTGTTATGTTTGCATTTTCTGTTCTGTTGAGAAATGACTAAGCTGCATATGTTCTGATTAGTATGGAGAAAGAGATGGAGTTCATCATCATAACTTACCTTATGTTATATGTCTATGTTTTTACTTCTAATACCCGATGTATAGCCACCCCAGTGGTAGAGAGCGTATGCGTAAGACGTTAGTGTTGAGGGTCCTGAGTTCTAGTCCCAGAAACACATTTTTTTTATGTTTATTCCCAGATATTTTTACCCCATCCTGGACCAGAACTTCTAGACATTTTCATCCAACAGCCTTGACACCTCACGTACCCATTATCAGAACTTCTAGCTTTCCATTGACACTAGAACTTCTAGGTTTCCAGTTACATCAGAACTTCCAAACTCTCTAAACATCCATAATTTCAAAACTTCCTTAACCACCAGAACTTCTGACCTTCCAGTAACATTAGCACTTCTAGGCTTCCAGTTACATAAGAAATTCTAAGATTTCCCTTGTTCCCAGCAACTCCAGAGCTTTAGTGTGCCCGGACCCAGAACTTCTGACCCTCCTTTTGTCTGCTAACATTTTCCTTCTGACTTGCAGTGTACCAAAGTCAGAACTTCTTTTCTCTCCTGTATCAGCAATGCGCTGATTCTGACCCCTTTTTCTCTTATTATTTTTAATATCACTTCTATTTTCAATAATCAAAAACACCAAAGTATTTTTATATTCACATACTTCATTTTGTTTCTTTTGGAATAAAAAGATCAAAAACATTTTCTTAAGCTAATTCATTTTCTTCTTTTAACAAAAACAAAACAAGTCCCTTTTACATTTCTTGTGCATTATTTCGATATGGTTGTAATAGATAATTAGGAATTTAAATTTATTGAAATCCTCATTTGCAAATTTGTACACCCCATTCCTTTAATGATTGTAATAGCGTAGAATATTTATTTTCCGCAATTTATTGCTTTCATATAAATGCTAGTAAATTAGGGTTTGTATGGGAAGATAAAAATCAACAAGTAAATAACCCTAATCAAATATTAAGTGCATGCCAATCAAACACAATATTCACACATGCACCCCTAAGGTTAACTCCACTCGTTGCCTAAAAATGGTCATGTTATGCATGTGAGACGTCTTAGCAAAAACAATCAAAAATACAAGATCATAGTCCCTCGACGCTACAAATGTTGCCTTTCAAATGATCTTAGTCCCTCAAGGAGAAATGATAAGATATCTCACAACATTTCTATCATGACTATACGATGACCCATGCCCGTCTCTTTACATCCAAAGATAAGGCTTCTTACCAATCAATGGTAAGATAGCAATATCAAAGGAAAGGAGAAATGAACAAAATACATTTGAGAAGGTAGAAACGTTCTTAGTTGCTTGTTCACTTTCAAAACAAACATACTTACTCACTTTCAAAACAAAGACTTTCAAAATAAATAAACATGAAATATTTTCAAAAGTCCAACACTTTGTATACATTCTTATGAGACGAGAACCATTACAAAGTTTGCCTAAACGAAGGCACCTTTTCAAAAATACTTTCAAAACCACCACAAAGCACATTTTCAAACAAAATCAAGGGATCTAGCAAGCAACCAAGAGCTCATAGATAAATATGGATGAAAAGGGTTCTAACACTTTCCCTTTTCATAATCTATCCCCCGAACTCAAGAAATAATCTCAAAGGTCTTTCCTGATCTTTTCCACCTTTCCTTCTGGATAAAAGAAAATTCGGTGGTGACTCTTGCTAACCGTAACAATTGCGATCAAATGCAAAACATCACAAGCCAGTTCTCCCACCGTATTACACGTACTATCGAGTTATGTCGTTTTGTGAAATGTATGCAAATGCTTCGTATAGTAGATTAATTGGGAATGTTCTATTTTTAATGATGAATTGTTGTTGTTATGGAATTAATCATGAGGATTTTGGTGTTAATGTGATGTGATATTTTATATATTATGATGATTTTTTTGGTGAAGGTTTATGCCTTAAGTATTAATTTTGTATGAACTGTGATGCATATTATTATAATTGAACGTGATGGTGTTGTACGAACGATGTATGAATGAATTGAATAAATATTGCATGATGATGTTGATGATGATGGCATGTATTGACGTGACATTGGTGAGTAGTAATATCAATGCATTTCATGTTGTTACGCATCAATGTCGCATGCATTCATGATAAGGGCTTATGCTCTGTACGATGGCCTGTATTGGAGAAACGAGGGTCTGTATTAGAGAAATGATGGCCTGTATTGGAAAAAGATGGTATGTATTGACGAACGATGACCTGTATTAGCGAATGATGACCTGTATTGACGAATGATGGCCTGTATTAGCGTAAAGATAAGGGCTTATGCCCTGATGATACCACATGCATCTTACATGAGTGTCAGTTGCATCATATTTGATTGAATTATTGATATAAGGATGAAGTTGAGTTGCATAGTTGGTATGTGTTGTATGATGAATGATGATAAATATGTATGTCCTTGTATAATTATTATGAATTATGATTGATGATTGTTGAGCTTAGAATCTTGCGTGATATATTTGTCGTATACCTATGATTATATAACTTAATATATTGTTGTAATATCTCATCCCTTCTGTTTGAATGTTGCCTCTACGTGGGTAACATGCAGATGATCCGAAGTAGCTCGAGGTCGAGGTTAGATGAGGAATTGCCTCATTTTACATATATTGAGTCGGTGTCGGCTCTGATACGTACACTTGGGAATTTTGTACTTGTTTTATTATGATGGGAGTAAACTATTTTAGAACTCCATTTGTTGAATTTAATTGATGTCTTACGTTAAATTTTGAATCATGATGACTATCAGTCATGTTGAGAATAATTACTAGTGATGTTTTCCGCTGCGAATAAATGAAATGAAAGCCAGACATTATGAATAATTGACTATATGTTGTAAATATTTTTATATGAGCATGTATGATGTACGAAGATGTGGCATCCTATTCTTGATGTTTTATTTTATGAATTAATTTACTCTGATTTTTGGTTAAGTTATCAACAGGGAATTAGGGTGTTACAAGTTACATACTTCACGTCTCGTTGATTTTCTTAATGTGAGATGTGCACCACAAGTGCAATTTCATAGTATCCTAAGGACCACTAAATCTTCTCAAAGAGTTTTCTAGTCATTAAAGTAGGAAGTTACAAATTTGTCACCTTGGCGTATGGAATGAATTTGTTGAAGCAAATCAGGAAGGAAAAAATGATCACCCTTGGAGAATCTATTAGACAAATTTGTCCTTATTTGTTTTGCTTTCTCCTCATAAATCGTACTTTGAGAAATGATGAGAGATAAAGATGCAAAAAGCCATGGAAGAACGATGTTGTTGCATTTTTCCTAAGTGTCAAAGAGGGGATCAGTTTTAGGTGGTGTTGTCATCTTGCCATTGATGAATTTGAGCTTATTCTCGCTCAAGAGTTCTCCTTTCATAGAACGACTCCAAAATTCATAATTGTTTTCAGAAAGAGGAGGAGTGAGAAGGACGACACCTAGGTTTTCAACTGGATGAATGCAATACAAGCTCGTTTTTATCAAGAGCTAGATTCTTAAATTGTTGATTAATCTTGTAATTCTGATTGTTGTTATTATTTTTGTTGTTGATAATATTTTTTGAAAGAGATGAATCATCATGATCATGAAATAAACTCAATAATTGTATAATATTGTTGAAGAAGATGAGTCTAGTGAAAAATTTGATTTATACACTTTTGATAACATAATACATAATACATAATACAAAATATATTTAAATTAAACATCGAGCTTCACTCATTTTTGATTGATATGATCCATGTATATATAAAGTGTATAATTTGTATCTCAATTAATAACAAACTTGAGATGCAGGGTCATGGTCGGATAGTGTTTGGCGTTTTCACAGGGAGGCCGTTTCTGCCACGATTGAAGTTGCAGTAGACTGGCTCTGGACAGAGTTATTCAGGCTGTTGTCTGGTGTAGTTCTTCAGCAAGATGAATCAGACGAGTTTCAGTGGGAAGCCGCGACTGGTGCTGGATTCTCGTCCAACTCTTGTGCTAACCAGTTCAGTATTAGACAAGATCAGATTATGTTGAATCTCGGGGTGAGGGAGGCGTTAAGCTTTATGTGGAGTTTACAAATCATGTCAAATATCAAGATGTTCGGTTAAAGACTATTGTTGAATAGACTAGTCATTAGAGATCAACTTCATAAAAAAGAAATAATAGCGGAGGAAGGGGATTTTAGTTGTGTGTTTTGTTCGAGAGATGAAGAGAATGCCCATCATTTATTTAATTCTTGCTTTGTCACTAGAAGAATTTGGAACAAAATTGAAGGTTGGATCAGTAGTTCGATGGAATTTTCAGGGACAGAATTGAGATCCTTCCTTATGAATAGACACAAAATAAAAAATACATATGAAAGACTAACAGTAGAAACAATTTGGATGGCGGTGGTGTGGAATTTATGGGCGATGAGGAACACCATTATTTCAAAGGTAGTCCGTTCATTTTCGATAATTGTATAACCGCTATCATTTTTCAATCATTGAAGTGGTTTAGAGTTGTTAATGTTTCCTCTGTATCTTAATAATAATAATAATAATAATAATAATAATAATAATAATAATAATAATAATAATAATAATAAT